ATGATCAAACTCTTGAAACCTTCTCATGTCCTCCATCCTAAATGACCATCTAACACACTCGTACAACAGAACAAACAGAACTACACCGTAATAAACTCCACCTTTAATAGACAATCACAATCACCACGAGTAACATTTACAAGGTGAAATTTACTGATAGTATCTGGCTTCCCCGGCCCAAGTGATCAAGGTAAGGTTTGAATCTATGACTTAATTAATGCACAAAAGTGTATTGTCTTTACCGCTGATTGCACCCGGCTTTTCCTCGAAAACTTTTTAATAGCAGTAACATGAGACTAACAAACGTTTTAGCCGTCTGCTGTTAGACTCCATTCGCTGAAGTAATTTGCACTACTGACATTTTAAACAACTGACCAACTGTCTGGTCGACATTTAGCTGCGTTATAACTTATAAGACTTTAGAATTCAAGCTAACAACACCACTTGATTCCTTACCATCTTCAAGCAATGTATGAAGAACCAATTTTCGCTTAACTCCACCCAGAAAGAAAGCACCGCTCAATAGCTGAACTATATGAGTTTTAAGTTATGGGCCCCTGATTGAAACCCACTTCATCTACTTTGATTCGAGCAACCGAGTACTAAAATAAGCCCACATACAACAGGTGCGGCTCGTACAGACAAGAAGCATTACCCGGTAGCGGTTCAAGTTGACACACCTCAATATTATTTCGAGCAAGAATGCGCCAAAATAGAAGACAAAGAAATATAGAAGATAACAGTCAAAAGTGATAGTCATGAAAAAGGAACAAGAAGGAATGACATAAAATTGAAATTCAGGATGACGGTTACATTTGCGCCAATCAAGATCGACTCTGGGCTATATCACCTGCAGCCTCCATCCCCTGGTTTCTGGTGTCATGCGAACCTCAATTAAGAAGTTCATATTTCCCTACACAGTTAAAGACTTGAACGAGTCAAGCCATGTTTTATTATGCCAACCTGTATATATTTTGCAGCGTGAACCTATTTCAGCTGCACTGCGCGATGAGGTAGACAGTGATCAGGCATACCTAACACATATCTCAGCCATCTCCAACGATAAATATTCACAACCGTAACAACTGATTTTCTTCTGTCCAAAACTCTACGTCCAACTTTCACGTTACTGACATCATGACTCCATCATAAACGAACTGTTCTATCAAGGCAACGATGATCAAACTCTTGAAACCTTCTCATGTCTTCCATCCTAAATGACCATCTAACACACTCGTACAACAGAACAAACAGAACTACACCGTAATAAACTCCACCTTTAATAGACAATCACAGATCACCGTGCCACCATGAATGCCATATACTGTGGCGGAGACTAAACTAGCCTCTTGTATCCATCTAGAAATTTCATCAGTCATTGGCTCAACGAGGCTGATCCATCATCCCAAGATGCTGAAGTAGTTAACTAGTTCAACAATTTCACAACTACATATTGTTAGACGGCGTGCCAACGCAAACCAGTCATACAGCAACAATTTGGATTCGGGTAACGAGAAATACATCCCAAACATTCTCAAGATGCCACTCAACGTACACAAAACACTGTATTTTATCAGCCTCTAGCCTCTTCACCTAATTAATACAACTATGTCATCGGCACACTATAAATACACTAGAGGATTTCTCATGACAAGATCAATCCCTGCAGAGTCAGACGAGGACATGGAAGACCTCCATTAGCACATCTATAAAAACATTGAGTGAGAATGTAGACAGTGGACATCCTTAACAGACACAATTCCAAGTACACAACTCATCTGATAACCTACCATACATTATGACTCACCGACAGATATTCGAGTATGAAGCCTTCAACAGAATAGTGAACTTACCTGGCACCCCTTTAAGTGGGAGACACTGCTATAAGACATTCTGGTTGGGGAAGTCAAATTCCCCTTTAGGTCTAGAAATATATTTAGTGCCAGGTGTTGTTAAGTGAATTTGGTTGACATACCCACAGTCACGTCTCAAACCTGTCTGCTTCCTTTGGGTAAGGAGTTCCTGAGCTCCATTTAGATGAGTAGCATCTATAGAACCTAGAATCTCAGACACTGGGTTCGTTGAAATGATTGCATGGTGGTTGTCACAAGAGGATTTCTCAACTTTATTGAAGACTAGGACAAACAGTGATTGCGACCAATCAAAGAGGAGAATTTAGGAATTCCATACTCTAGCTAACACTTCAGTTAGTCTGACCAATAATCCTCAAATACCGTTTCAAAATACCCTTAGTACTAGACCGTCTGAACCTTCTACTCTTCTTCATTTCAGGTTACTCAGTCTTCTTAACTTCTAGGAGAGTTGAAAGTCCTAACTCAATGTAGCTCTCAAGGTACTACTGGGTGCAAGTGACCGGAAGCTAACAAGAGGCCAATCGAATTGATCATCGAAGTGCTCCGCCTTCCAATGTATCCCGAACCGATCCCTCTCCAGTATAATCTGACTAATGATGAGGAATCCTGACACAGCTTCCTTGATTGTTCTAAAATAACTTTATGTGACTGTCTAACGCTGCCGACCTTTTTATACCTCTTTAGTCACCGCTACTCATCACTGCATAGACTTTTCGTCAGTTTAAATTTAATTCACTGTCCACTGAGCCGGCAGGAATGCGTTCACACACCTCCATTATTTTTGAGACTGCTGAGACATTCAAATATCTTTCTGAGAGTCAGTTACGATCTCCAGCGTCAAGTTTCTTCCAGGCGAGAGGCATTGTCCGATTCTGGCCAGCTTCCCACTGAAAGTAGTTTTACTATCATCATCGTCGAGATGCATCTGGATTAGTCTTGTTGCTGTAGGTTTTAGGAAATACAGTTGGGATTGCTTCGGTTTTAAAATGCTAATCCTGATACTAAATACCAACCTAGTGCTTTCAGTTTGGATGCTTGTGGGGACGGATCGATTTCCCTATGGTATTCATTACAGACTAACATCATTTGCAGAACCATAGAAAACCCGTGAGTAATTGACAGTTGTTTCTTCCTAGTATAGGACTACTCACCGTTGTGCACTAAAGAAACTGCGAAAGATCACCAGATCTCTCGGTGAGTATGTCGGCACTCAGTCACTGGGTCGGAATTCAATAGTGTATGTGTTTTATACTCCTGACTTTCTAAACTGTAGACAGTGTAGTGATATTTGTTGCAACTCAACGCAATAAAGGCGAAAGTTTTAGGCTATGGACTATACATAATACGTGAGTGCTTATGAAAGTACCCTTGATTCACTGCACGAAAGCCTATTGCGTAAAAGCCTGAGAACCACATCACTAATAATATGTAGAGGAAGCGAAATATCAGTAATATATGGTCGAACATAATATTATTGTACAGTAGTTGGTTATATATGCTGTTGAACGAAACAAGTGGCAGGAAACACAGTATGAATCACCATTTTGTCGAAAGAAGGGGACAGACTAAAACGTTCCAACGCTTTCTTTCGTTTCCACCCCATACTAGTGGTATTTATGAAAAACATGAATCTCCCACATATCTGAAGCCAACCACCTACCACTGACATACTCATATGCTAAATAAGACGATAGATTTGCAAATTCTTCACAAACTGTATAAGTCATGTTGACAATTAAGATAGCTTAGAGATTTTTGAGAGAAAAAAGACAGACAAAATCAACGTAGAACCTCACACAGGTAGATCACCTTAAGTTGTCACATTTTACAGTATTACACAAAGAAAAGGTGGACAGAAAAGGAGTGATATCAAAGTAGACAAAGTTGTGTGACAGAATAAGCGATTCAAAGATAAAGGTTTGTGCAAATATTCAAACCTTAGAAGAAGTAAAGAAGTGAATTCATCAGAGCCACTGAGACCGATTTTCAGCCATATCACCATAAGTCTTCAACCACTGGTCTCTTTCATATCAGGGACCCCAGTCAGCCAGACAACCTACATCTCCCCACACGACTCACACCAACAGTCAGGGACTGGTCCCATATCTCGCCCGCTTTGATCACTCTGAACCCTCTTCCCACTTAATTTAACTTCTCCCCGGCACGGCACTTCAACAGAGGTAGAGGATCGGCATGCAAAATATGTGTCGAAGCTAACTCACTTGACTAAGGTTCGCAACCTCATCAATTTACTTGCTTGTCTTACCTAGTACCCCTCGCCTGACCTCAACATTCCTCACACAGTGATTCTACCAAACGCGAACAATGCCTTGAGTAAAACCTTGTAGCCACTTTATAGCTTCTACTTTCAAAGGCCGTTTCTCACACCCGTACAACAGGAGAAAAAGGACTTCAGTGCAGTATACTCATCTCTTGATAGAGATAGTTGGACATCTCATCAGCGTCACAGGTAACCCAAGTTGACAAATATCAAACGGGCCTTCTATTCGGACTGAAGTAATTGTGAAGTGGTCGACACCATTTAAAAATGGTTTCAACGAAATCAAAATACGACCATGTCCGCATCTGTGCAGTACGTACACCTAATGTGTAAAGGTTTATGATACTACCTGGCTTCCCAAAACTCGATAGATGGGACGAGGTTGGAACGCATAACCCAACTTTCGGAAAACAAGTGATTGAACCAATAAGCAGCAATTGAATATGATTCCAGTGATATATTTAGTTTAGAACTTCTATGCTAGAAAGATAAAACCCATGTTTTTTTCCTAACGGAATACCTTTTCACTTAGAAACTTTGTTGATATCATAGGTAATTGGATTAGAAAATCACCTAGCACAATACAGATTGTTGACTAAAATCATGCAACTTATAGGTGAATTGGCAAACAGTTTATTGAAACTGTCTGGACAGCATCAAGGAGCTCTAACAATTCAAATCGATCCTTTCAAATAGACAGCTGATAACTTGTTTCACAAACAACTGAAATATCATCTTTTTTTAAGGCAAATGATCATTTTGATCCGTTAGAATATGATGGTAATGCATATAAGTTACTTGAAGCAACTCATATCTATGTGTAGTGACAAAAAACACCGAATTTTAAAAATATATCATTATCTCCATCTTCAACATCATGCCTTCAGACAAACACACACATACACACACGACAGCTGATGCTGCTGCGCTGTAAAATGAAGAAATGTTACTGTGTAGGTTTATAATCAATGATAACTTTCCTCACATTATGAAGAAACATCTTATTGAAAAAATAGAAGTAAGATTAATTAAAGTAGTATGATATGCACCAGGAAGAGTACAAATCACATACAATAAGTAAAGAAATAAGAAAGAAGGTAACTCTCTTCGTAGATGTGTAAATATACGTGTACAATAAATAAGTCAAAATCACAAAAGACAGTAAACACAAAGACAGAAGAGAAAAAAAATAATCATTATTATTATATCAATATGCGTATAACAGTCACATTTTGTAATCCATTACTGATAATAATTTAGCTTGGAAGATACAATCTACATGAAAAAGTAGAAAGGAAGCAACAAAAAATTCTTATGAATATGTTACTACTGAATTCGACTTAAGTAGTATTTAAATAAGAACAAACGGTGAATAACTTGGTCGATTCCAAGTGAGACATTACGTTGGTTACATCAGCCGCTTGTTATGGAACCACGATGTGGGTAGTGCACAGGTTAAGTGTCCAGTCTATAGTGGTTAAACATTATCGACTGAGATGGTTAGGATGTGTGAAGTATATCTACTCATCACACATCCTAACACGCGACTTTAGCTGAAGCAGTTTTAAGCTGGAAACAAGCTAGCGATAATTACCAGGCATTAACGCATGAATTTCTTAGCTACCGTTTCAAGTCAAGAAGGAAAACTGTAATTTTCTTGGTTAGCGTCAGTAAAACAAACCAGACTGATCGTTAAAGATTTTAGTGACACGGCTGACGATCGATCACAGTGACATAGATACATCTATGACTTATCTCCAGGTGAGCTGTGCACATAGAGTGGTGCTCAATTTTGTCCTAGATGTCTTTATGGATATCTCTTTGGTAGATCGAGCATATGCAGATAACACAGTCCTGTTGGGTGAAGACACTGACAAGATGCAGAGTCTTCTGGACACATTCGGTAGCAATATGAGAATGTTTCGGACGCGTTTCTCACCACCCGAATACAAATTATTGCTCCAGGACTGATCTTCAGAGGTAGCCCAGCTAACAAGAGAGAGTGAAGTCGTTGACCATTTAACTTATCTAGGAAGACGAATCAACCCTTGGAGGTCAGTGGCTGGTGAAATCTCAAGAATACAAAAGGTTCGATTGACTATCGCCAAAATACGCCATCTGTAGCTACGCCACGATATCCGATTTCCTGCTACGGGATAAGTGTATGTGCTGTGTTTCGCTCTGTTCTATCATATGGCCGTGAAACATGGCAATTAAAGGTAGGGGTGGGGAGAAAGCTTCTGGTGTTTCACCACCTTTGTCTACGCAACATCAGCCGTGTTTCGTGCTGTAGCCATGTCAGTATCACGGAAGTCAGGTGTGGAGTTTCAGGGAGGCGATGAAAGTCAGTTGATAAGCTCATGAACTTTCAACGATTCTGATACCTGAGACATGTATTATACATGTCTAGTCACCGTCTTAACTTCGCCTAGGTAACCAGTTCACTAGTAACTAGCCGGTAGTAGGCCCGGATAAACAGGGAAGGTTGGGCATAGGGCAAGCAAACCTACCACATAAAACCAATCCAAGCGCTTAAGAGAATTCACAGCACAGACTAAATATAAAAAATGAAAACAAAATTATTCCTAGCTGGAATCGGAAGGGTGAAATGACGCCACTTGGTGAAAGTCTTCGAGAAGCCAATTGGCTGATATGTCGTCGCTTCACTCGATGAAACCAAAAGTAAGAATGGGAACATGGAATGTCCGAACAATATTTGAAGCTGGCTAGCAAAGGCTGTTCAAACTGCGAACGAGATGAGAAGGTATATCATAGATGTGCTACGAATCTGCAGATGAAATGGAAGTGGATTCTCCAAACTGTTAACTGGAGAGTCAATAATCTACTCCGATATTGTCACCTAGACGACAACCACGAGCACACTGAGTCTTCGAGTAGCTATCAGGATGTCCCCAACAGCATCGAAGGCTCTCATGCAGTGGGGACCAATCTCCTCCTGCAGGATCATAACAACAAGATTCAACTCAAAAGGAAGGAAAGTCACAATCACACAAGGCTACGCTTCGCACCTACAAATAATGCAGATCAATAGAAGAAGGAGGAATTCCATAGACAACTGCAATCAGTAATGGACAAGAACCCACCCCAGATGGAGACATTAAAATTCTAATGGGCTGGGTGACATGATTGCCAGCCAAACTGGGAGCGGGCAACATAGGAAGAGAAGTCATCATGGGTTAAGAGGCACTTGGTGAAATGGATGAGAATAGAGAACTGTTTGCAGACTTCTGCGCATTCAACGATCTGGTGATTGGAGGCACTGTGTTCAAGCACAAGGATATCCACAAAGCGACATGGATTTCACCAGACACCACACACACTAAAAACCAGATCAACTTCACTACAATCTCAAGAAAGTGGAGACGCAGTCTACTGGACACCAGCTCAAGAAAGGTAGCAGATGTAGGTTTACACCACTCACTACCCAGTACAAGCAACCTACCTTCCAAATCAAGTTGAAAGCCTTCACAGAAGTCGGTGATAGGCCACACCACAGTACAAGTTCAAGTTGAACACCCAGAACAGAAATTGAACTGAAGGACGAAACTACAAAGGACATCTTCCCGTCAGTCACTCAGTCATCAGGACAAAATGGGAGACATTAAGCAAGATCTCTGAGGGGACGTGGGTGGAAGGACACTGGAACTCTTCGAAAGAGATGTGGAAGGTCACCTGCATAACCGTGTTGGGAAGGAAGAAGAAACAGGACAATGAATGGATCTCGTCGAACACATGGAAGCTAATAGAGAAGGGAGAGGAAGATGGTGATGGTGAAGCAGAAGATGAACAAGTCCACTGCAAAGCATTGGAAGGATGACCAACGAAAAGAGGAAGTGAGTACAACCTATGAACCACTACACCGGACAAAGGAGTGAAGAAGAGTGCGCTGAAAGACAAAATACACCTCTATGACACACTTGCAAGTGAAGCAGAACAGGCTGCAGGTAGAAGAGACAAAGAGAGACCTGACAACACTAAATCAAATAACCAGGTTACTATCTTGGAGGGGAAGGATCAACTTAGATGACACCAATGAAAGATAGTGAAGGAAAGTTAGTTACCTGCAAAGAGGAGAAACAAAGGGAACAATGTGCTGACCACTTCAAGAATCTCTTTAATCGACCACCATTACTTGCGACTCATCCAGAAATACCACCAGCAGCCCATCTACAGAATTATCAGTGAACACAAGCCTTTCGACAAAAGCCGAAGTCCTGAACGTCCTGATTATAGTCCACTACATCAGGTAGCAAACCATGAGGGGCGAGAAGAGGGGCATACACTGGCTGCATCGACGAAAAGACCACAGAAGAAGATTTGTACTTTACCGCCGATGATTTGTGTGTAATGTATTAGGACGCACAAACTCGAAGATCTATAGGCAAAATCCAACAAGTTTACAGAAGAGGCAGCATAAACGGGACTTCGGGTGAAAGTAGAGAAGACAGAGGTGATGAAGATACCGAACCAACAACAAGCATCAATCACCACGAACGGGAGGAATGTAAAGTAGTCTCTTTCACTTACCTACCTACCTAGGAGCGTCGTTTCAACTACAGGTGGCACAGATGAGGACGTCAAAGCCAGGATCGGAAACACAGCAAGATAGGTCTTCATTAATCTAAAATCAGTGTGGAGATCCACTACACTCAGTGCAAAGAACAAGATCCGGATTTTCAACACTTATGTCAAATCAGTGCTGCTATATGGTTCAGAAACTTGACGCGTTATGAAAAGCATTTCGAACAAACTACAAGCAACAATGAACTCTGGCTGGTTCTGCAACAAACCAACCAACCAACAACCTATCGCCCAACAAATATGTAGAAGAATGAAGTGGAGATGGGTCGGTCATACACTGAGAAAACCATTCGGGGACATCACGCGTCAGGCCTGACCAGGCGAGGCCGTCGAGTGGAACTGAAAAGGGAAACGACGATTTGGGCATCCGAGTCAAGGGTGATATGAAGGCGACCATGTGAGGAAGAAATGAAAGTTTATGGGTAGTCGTGGAGCCAGGTTGGGAAGACTGGAAAGAAGAGAGTGAAATGGCGGCGTGCAACCGAAGCCCGATGTCCCACTAGGAACTCAGGGGGGAAAAAAAAAAATAATAATAATAATAATAGTAGTCACCGTCTTCCTTGTCTAGAAATGTTAACTGAAGAGGTTCACGCTGAAATAAGGCTTAGGGTGGCCAGGCTAAAACATAGCATCACTGCATGGAGTCCTTAACTGTTTGTTTCAGTCATGTAGGGAGATGCAGATTAACTAGTCAGTTGGGGTCCACGTGACAAGGTAAACCAGTGGTTGGGGACTCTAGCTGATATGGCTGGATCTTCCTTCCTCTCCTTTTATTGCTGTCTAGTGCTTTCGGTTGACTTTTCCTTTTTTTCTTCATCTTTAATTGAACTACTTTGTCAGCTGTCGTGCTAACATGAAATGTGGCACTCTGGACTTTTATGCAGTAATGTCTGGTTCCATGCTGACACTGACGATAATCTCAACCACTAGATCAGCTTTCCAAATTCAATCTATCGTCTCTTTTTTTATTTAGTAGTTTTCTACGAATTCGATTAGTTCTTTACTGAGTGATATTTCGAGAAGAATGTATTGCTGATAATCAGATTAAATTAGTTATACAATTTTCAAACTATGCGGTTTATTGTTTTAGGCACTCGACTTCGAAGCAATAGGTTCCAAGGTCCATCCCCACCCCACCTTACTTTGGTATGAGCAACCGGGCAGTATTATAAACACTACCATAATTATTGTGGTCCATAATATATATAAACCCATACCGGATTGAGTTACATTATGATGTATTTAGATGTAGAATATTGAATTCTATCGACCATTTCTCAGTCGATAGAAGGTTAAGCACCGCAGTAGATTTTAGTTAATGTTACATATATACAGGCAGTCGGTAGAAATCTTCGAGCCTAAATCCACAAGGTGTATTCTGCAATCTCAATCAACACTAACGATCAGATAAGATGAAATTAATTACTTTCCAGTGACCATTCATTGTATACAATGCAGTCTTAGAGGTGATTAATTGCAGCCGGAACAGTTCAGTAACAACGACTACGGCTAAAGTACTGAATGGTCTTGGTTTTGAATCAATACGAGGACAGCGGGTCATGTGACAAGCTAAAGGTAGCTTGTAAACTTGATGCTGCAAATATCTTGTTGAATATAACTTCTCCATGCGAAGATATAATTCAGATAGCTTATTATATGAGATATAGGTCATAATGTGAAGTATATTACAGTCATCATAAAGCATATGTTCAAGTAACAAAATATCCTATGACGATATCATCACAAAGTGATCAAATTGTTTTAAAATTCTGTTTCACATTATTCATTCATTCAGTTCAAGTGTAGTGGACGCTTTTGATCAGAATAGATAGCATATGTTAAGAGGGAGGCAGAAATCACAAGCAATTACCAGCAATGAGTAAAGATTCTGACCACAAGAACCCAATAGACAAGGTGGGCGTATGAAGAGCAAATCAAGATAGAAGCAAAAGAGGAAATGAAGCAGAATATGTAAATGATTATCTTAGTGGAAAGTGTACAATATTTCATCAGTACTGTACAAGATGTCAATAATAAACATTGCTTCCTGCATCTCAGTCTTCTCGTTTCCTACACAAGTAGTCAACTAACATCTAAATGTTTACATATTTTCAAGTTAGAATAGTTAGTTGGCAAAAGCAAAATATGATGTAAGCATTGAACCTACCCAAAATCCAATTCGCTTTAATACATATCTTGTTTGGTACAGTGCAGCCAATGAGAATTGAAGCTTCCATTTTTCTGTTTGTTAGCTAAATGGGTAAAAATAAAACAGAACGAAAGTACGGCTACTACACAAATGAAGAGAATTTCCGTTGCCAAAAAATTAAAACTCCGATTAGTATCGATGACCAATTTGTGCGTGTTATAGGATGAATGAATTTAATTGAAACAAAGATTTAGGATAAATTTGTCAAATAAAATCACTGCTCATGATTACACTAACTGAAAATTTCCAATTGTTGATATGAGACCATAGATAGCGGTTGTTATATGCCCCTAAGTTTTGTCTAATATTTGCCTATAACTTTAAAATAGCTCCCACTGGTGACTAGCTTCAAGAGGAGATTCGAGAAGTTTCAATGCGAAGTCGTGATCGGAGAGGCAAACCTGGGGACCATGAGGAGAAATACTCACCGATGATATTGGGTGATGGTTGCGCTGTCGTGAACTGACAGAAATAGGAAATATGCACCACTGAATTTCGACCTAGTGGTAACGTGATGGCTAAGGAACCTGAAGGTCGCAGGTTCGATCTCTGGAGGTGGCGCGCACTGCTGAGGAGTCCTGTGCTAGGATGAAACAGCTCAAGGGTTTCAAACATTCCTCCAACTGATGTCAGTTCATGATGAATACCAACTTGAAAAATCACTAGAAATCCCCCACAAACCCCCAAATTCGACTGTATTGCTGTTTTGGTGCCCTCTGGGCCCTGTTACTCACTGTTTCTGAGGGTTGAACTCTCACTGGTTGTTAACTCTTTCAACTTATCTGTGAATCCAGCGTTTTCAAGGTTGTTTACGATGTATGTATTCACCATCGCCCTCAACCGTTTTGATTGCTGTTGAAACAGCTAAAGCTTACTGTAAACGAATCATCTCTTCGCGTGCCGCTGGTACTGCTGTTGTAATGGTTGATGTTCTGACTAGAGATTTAGAGTGGACTCTTATGCACGATATGTTCGCACTGCTCGTAGACTACTTGGTAGCATTACCGGTCATAGGAGTAACGTTCTTCCAAAAGCTTAAAAAAAACTGTTAATCAAGGCTGAAAATTCATTTGAAATTTATTTTTAAGGAATTGTTAAGCGATCTGTTTAACTCATGCTCTACCAAAACATTTTTCACCAACAATATTTAATCGACTTCTCCCCTTTCTGGTTGTTTAAATCCTTAAGGTATATCTTTTCAAAACGTATCATGTACTCTTGAACCGTTATGAAATGGTTTCAAACTCTCATTTCTCAACCTAAGACCAATACTAAAGGAAAACTGTTACGCCGCATACAAATGAATATATAAATGCTTAAAAAATATAATTTTCGAGCTGCCTGACTGAACTATCCACCAAAATGAATTTCTTTTCATCAACAGTCCCGACCAGACAAGAACTTTAAACCTGCTACTCATTTCAAATAAAAGTCTTTATTTCGCTATTATGACATGTTAACAACTATATCTTTTAAAAATATTGCACGAGGGAAAAAATATGTTCAAATATTTTCACCATTATTATCGAACCCTTGGCTTCCTAGTGAAACATAGGGCATCAAAAACACGTCGCCATTTCACTCTCTTCTCTTCAGTCTTCAAAACATGGCTACATGAATCCACATTAACTTTCATTTCTTCCTCACACCATCTCCTCCATGTCACCCACACTCCAACGCCCAACTCATCGCTCCCCATCTCAGCTCCACTCGACGGCATCCATCCGATCTTCACTGTCGACTGAGAGAGCATAGGCAGAACCTATTGGTGATGCATGTCTACAGTTTGTTCGAATTGATTTTCGTAAGGCACATAGTCACTCAACCACCACATAGAAACACTAACTTGAACTTAACTGATTGAATTCATGTTGAAAACCCACATCTTGTTCACGCTTTATGTTAAGTGTAATGCACTGCAGTGCAGTAGATCTTCACACTCATTTAATTTCAGATTATTGAAAGAAGGCCTCTGTGACTATCTTTCCCATCCTGACTGGCTTTGACATCCTCATCTGTGCCACCGCCGTCGCCGCCATTCACTGTAGTTCGAACGATACTGCCTAGGTAGGTAGGTAAGTAGGTAAGTGAAAGAGACAACTTCATTTACATGTCTCCCGTTCATAGTGAGCGGTGCTTCCTCTTCTTGTTGTTTTTGTTGACTGGCTGGATATCTCCATCACACCTGTCTTCTATACGTTCACCTCAACGATGTACCGTCTTACTTCGCTGCCCTACCCTACCCTTCCCTGCCTCGCCTAGCCTCACCTCGCCTCTTCTACCAACTTCCTACTCTTCGCCTGCACATCTCCCAGTTTGTGCGACATAACACATTACACATAAATCATCATCCACGGCGAAATACAAATCTCCTTCTGGGGTCTTGTCATCGATCCAGTCAGCGTATACCCATCTTCTCACTCGTCATAGCTGTTTCTTGCATGATCCAGTCCAGTCCAGTCCAGTCCAGTCGACCACAAACACGAAGATCATGAATGGGTGATAGTAGGTGGTAACCTTCTCTTACTCCTTCCTGTCTTCACTCCACTTCACTTCACTTCAATTCAAAAACCTCACTGAGCTTTCCATTGTATTATGAATCACTTGTCATGTAATATCCTCACATAGCATATACTTACTGTTGAATGAGGTTGATAGAGGTTTGTAGTACTAAAAGCGTAGTGTTGTAGCAGCCAACTGCCAAAATACTTCTCAGTTGACGCTATCGAAGCAAGGACTTTTCAAAGTCGATGAAGTTAAGGTACAGGTATAGTGGATTGCCACTCTATGCTCTGTTTTATGATGTGTGCCGTAGGGTTGCGATTCGGTCCGCCCATGATTTGTACCTCCTGAAGCCAGTCAGCCAGCCTGTTCCGGTCGTAATTTTGAATTCAGAGCAGCTTTTAGTCTCTCCAGGATTATGCGGCTTAATATTTTGCTTGTGGTGGGCAGGAGTATGATTCCGCGCCAGTTCTTGCTCTTGCAGTCTTAGATCACGCCTTTTCGGGAGTTTGACAAGGCAGCTCATCTTCCAATTTGCTGAAAGATTACCGATTGAGAACTCCCTAATGTATCACATATGTTATTTGTAATAAAACGATTATTATTATTAAGTACTGTACTATTATTCACACGATTTACTAACTATCGCCTTCAACTGGTCCATGGACTGGTGATTGATTCATATAGACATACGGATAATTTGTCCCTAGCACAATTCCACAAAGCATTGAATTGGAGCGACTCTAAACATCACCCCCGAACCAAAACTGAAATAAACAATTACATTTCTTTATTTCTACCAGGAAAGCAGTTTTCAACAAAATAAGTAAGCCGAACTGATTATTTCAGTAGTGGTTAAAGTTGATATGATCAAATAAACCTCCAAAATATGTGTCGATATTAAACAGATCGAAGTAGAATCTTGTCAAGAAGTTAGCGAACTTGAAAACAGCACTAGTGTAGTCAATTCTGAACAATGTCATTGACAAATAACTCATAGGATTTTATAGACCACAGTCAAGTACCCTACCTACACTTCTGTACATGGTTCCAATGAATGGTAAATCATTTCATAGATTGGTACCATGTCTGAATATGACCATTTTAGACCTCCTTGCAGCGTAACCTTACTTAATAATAATCTTATTATAACAATCGCTTTATTCCAAACAATATGTATGACAGTATGGAATTCTCAGCATGTAATTTTTTTTAACAAATTCACTCTTACAACAATACTTTCAGATAAAACGGTTATTGCATCTGCATGATGTTAATAATAACAGTATTCAAGGTAATAATGTGAAACAGCTAGCTGGTTTTGGATGAGCGTTCGGTCCATAATGAAGATTCAACAAAAATGCAAACGTAATTTTATTGGTAGCGGTTCATTCAGATGGTACAAAACTCTGCAACTCAAGCTAAATATCTGAGGGATAAGAATATGATATACTTTTTTGCACCGAAAAGTCCATTTCCATATAACTCGAGAAACGGAGAGTTGGAAGCAGTTTGAAAATGTGCAAGAGTACATGCGACGTTCAAAGTACATATTTAAGTGATTAAAACAAATTGAAAGGAAAGAATTTGATGAAAAATGTTCGATGGATAAATTTGGTAGCCCAAGGTTCAAGCAGGTCATCGTGAACATTGAACATACCGGTTTAAAGAAGATGACAATCCAACGTCTGCATCACATTTTCAAGGCATTTTAGTCAATGTAAGCTCGAAATTTCATCATCCCTACGGTTTAAAATGATCTTAAACTTCTTTTATTTTGTGAATCCAACACATATACACCAGCATAAAAATCGATAGGTATCCTACAGAATAAAAACTATTTGTTTAACTGAAATAGGATATCAGTGCAACTAGGGCTCGGACTTAGACGATGAAACATATTAAAACGGGTAATTCAACGATACTGCCAGATTTCTCCCCTTCCAGTCCGTAGTAAATGGAGTACGATTCAAAATTATGACTGACAATAACATCAAAATCTCATAATAATAAGAATCCTTACAAACAAGACTGTCATCAAAAACCTATCATCGAAGGATAAACAATGCGGCATAGCAACTAATAATCAAGAAACTATGAGAGTTCACATTGGTAAATGTGGGGTCAAAGGGGTGTATATGCTAAAGAGTTATACCTTCAAGAAGTTTTTCACAAAAAAAACAACTAGGAATATTAAGATTCACTTACAACTGCACCACCTATATTTAATAAATCTACAAGATCTTGACGTGGTGGCTTTGTATCTGGGCCAACATAAACGACACCAACACCAGAGAATAGTTTATTCATCTTCTGCCTTCGTGATAAACGAGGTAATCCATGAGGCTATGGAGAAAATTCAAAGATTGCAAAGAAACGTTATAGTTATGCTTCCACAGATCACAAAGTCAAATTGATATAATTATCTGACTGTATATATTACATATTACAAAAAGTATTATTCAATCCTCATAATCATATTGAGATGATATAACTCTATGAATGATAACTTGTGCTTGAAATGTTATCCAGTCAAATGACACCGTTACACTGCGTGATACATCTAATAAAAGAGAGTGACTTTAAGGGCCGTCGTAGTAACTGTTTAGATAACCAATTACAATCCTCCATCCTATGAAAACTACCCTACTGAATCGAAATTCTGAAACTTGAATGGTATAAACTTAACCGCGTCTCTTGGTAATGATGTATGGCTCTCTCCGATTCGCGAGCGGTTTCCTTCTACCATATTCAACTACTGGCGTATATCCTCGTTCTTTACATTTCACCTGATCTCCGACTCCAAATGGTTCCCATTTACTTCCTTCTCTCTGCTCAGATGTTTCAGCCTCAACTTTCTGTTTTTGCTCCACATTTCTGATTGTATGTGTCCGCTTCGTTCTCAATCTTGTCATGTTTTATGGCTGTTGTTGGGGTCAGGTCTTCTTCCTATGTATCCGGAGCCGTGGTTTCCTACCATACACACTAACTGGAATGGCGATGCGCTAATAGTACTAACAGCATTTCAGTCTCCTAACTCCCTCTTTTCGAAGCCACCCACTGCTTAAGTGTACGGTTACTCCGCTCGGTCAAACCATTAATCTGCGGTTGGTACGATGTTGTTCTTATCCTCTTGATATCGAGCTGCTCTAAACAGGATTTGAATTCGTCACTCTCAAAATAAGGACCTTGGTCAGTCAATGTCATCTCGGGTAGACCGTGATCCACGACAGTATCAGTACCCATCACACAATAGGTAATGCTCATTGCCTACTGCATAGATATGTACAAGGTTGTTGAATGGATTTCGATTTTTCCGATTGATAGGGACTAATGGTGTGCACTTTGCAACAGTGTGAACCACTAAATATTATGCAATGTAAAGGCGATAAATCAGGTATACAGGATAGCATAGACTTGAAGCGCAGTAAAATAGCCTATCTCAGATAACAACTCACGACCAAACTGATTCAACCGTAAACCACTAACCTAAATCACTAACCATGAGCAGATCACGAATATTTCTTACTTTTTTTCTCAAATAGCTACATAGAGAAAAACCATACCGTATGAACATTTGCAATGAGTAGCCTAAGGAAAGAGGTCCCGATTAAATGAATAGAATAGATAATACTTTTTACATTGTATTACTTTGAGATAGTTTCGGACAACAAAAAGCAGGTAGTTGCATCTATGGTTCAGGTTCAAGGGTAGCGAAGAAATCTGCATCAAAGGAATCAATCCCTTGTTATAGCATCATAACGGATTTACCATTTGCTATCATACTTCAATCTGACTGTGTTAACACCTTTTTTTAATAGTTTTAATTCAGTCGACATAAGTGTGTGTGTGTGTGTGTGTGTGTATGATGACTCAACACCTTAATATAGTCCTGAGTCTTTACAGTGACTGTAGGTTCATCACCTAACCAACTGGTTCATCTTCTCCGTCTCCCTAGTATATTCGTTAACACATTGATACCGTTAGCCTCAAGAAATGTATGCCTCGACACTTCAATAGGACCTTCAAATTGAGGATGAGACAGTTAGTAAAATGAAAGGCGTTTGTAAAACGTAATCAGAAAAAGGTTCTCCACTCAAACTACAGTTCGTCAGTAAGCTAAAAAGCAAGACTGAATCGATAGCTGTAGAGCTATGGCTTACTATCGACCAGTAGGTCACGGGCTCAAACCCTAGTCCACCTACCGAGGTTTGGGCAGTCAGGTAGTATCACTAGCCCTTACAAAATAGATACGGCTGCTTATTGCCGTCCAAGGTAGCTGAATGCGTACTACTTTTTAAATGATTTACTTGCTGCCGAGGAAGCTAGGTATTCAGCACACGATAATAAATTGAAACCTACTTCTTGAATACCTTGGTTGTTCACACGGGTATTTCTATCAGTAAGAAATGCTTCACTGAAAAACAAACTCAACTCCTGTTAGTTTTCATGAAATCAGTCCCAATAGATGACCGACTTTATATGGATTAGCTTTGTAGTACTCTTCTAACATTCCCAAACATCGATATCAGTGAACAAGAGGAACAGAACCAGAAAACCTGAAGTTGTTCACACAGTTCAAAAAAGTCAGCAACTATACAGATTAGTTTTCATGTTTCTATATGACTGTATTGAAGCTTCCTGCAGAATATCGGTTTACCAGCCAACATTGCGGATGCTGAAGAAACCAGTAGCTAGACATATACAACATACCAATTGGTTGGAGGCAATCAGTAGGAAACCCTGCTTGATCTGGGAGGTTTCATGCTTGTTACCACTTATCAAAAAGGTGTATCTGCAACCTTGAGGAGCCTGATGTCCCCTCCGACATTCAAACCCACGACACCTAGTTTAGCAGTCAGAGACGCTACTTCTGAGGTACTGGCGCCGCGACCAACCCTTTAGTAAGACTGGATTGCATGTAATACAATTCGGTCTGCACTTAGGACTAGAAAACATGAAATTGGTTGTTTTCCAGTGATCAATCAATGCATGCAATCCAGTCCTACGAGAGGTCGATCACACCCTAAATATCCCATCGGTAGCATCGCTAACTGTAAAACTAGCTGTCGTGGGTTCGAACATCAGGCGGGACATCAGTTCCGTTGGTTGCAGATACACTTTGCTGACGAGTGCTAATAAGTACGAAACCTATGCCCAGGGCTTCCTTCACCAAAGTCCATCACAATGGTGAGTCCCCTAGCTTGGTGGCCACATTGTAAAATGACAGATAGAATCCAGTCAGCACTCAAGACTAGACTACCCTCCAGTGACCAATTAATGCATACATAACATACGTTCCAACTACCCGGGTAGATGAAAATCGACTGAATCATCTTACTTATTTATCGGTAGTTAACACTAACACCATACCATTAGTGATTGCATCACAAGTGAATGATGTTTAGATAATAACAGGTTTACTCTTTACATATCAACTAACAATAACCACATTAGGACAGAGTATACAGTTGTTCAGCAAACTTAATTCTTAACAGGCATTTTAATACCTCGCCTGGATTATGGATGGCGTAAGCTGGGCAAAAGATGTGCTGGCTGGATTAAATTCTCACTTATATTTTCCATTAGTCACCATCTCATCTTGGCTGATCTACTACCCAACTAAAATAAGCGGATTGGTAACAATAATGGCAGATATCTTTCTATTGTGAGGGATTCTCAGTAGATAAACTCCTCATAAAAAAAAACATCTCTTGGACTTACAGTTAAATGACATATACTTGACCAAACAAACTGAATAACTGACTGGTAAAATCAACGTCGAACCCCGTACATAGGTGGATCACCTCAAGTTGGTCACACTTCACAGTAGTATACAAAAAAACAGGTGCATGGAAAAAGACTGACATCAAAGTAGATAAGCTAGTGTAAGAGAATAAGTAATTTGAAGACAAGCTCTACAAAAAATCAAGGAGTTAATACATCTGCACTACTGAGACCTATTTTCAACCATGTCACCGTAAGTCCTCAACCACTGATTCCGTTCATCTCAGGGGCCCCAGTCAGCTAGGCAGTCAATATTGCTCCACACGACTCCCAGCAACAGTCAGGGACTTGATCGACTGGTGTCATCTAACTTCCCTCTAGCACGGCACTTCAACGTAAGCGGTGGATCAGCATGCGAAATACATGTCAAAGCTATCTCAGTCGACTAAGGTTCACAACCTCACCAATCAACTTCCTGGACTGTCTTGCCTAGTACCCTTGACCTGACCTCAACAATGCTCGCACAGTGATTCCACCAAAAGCGAACAGTGCTACGAAGGCACACATGATAAAACACCTGTCGTCTACTTTTGACCAAATAAATACTTAAGAAAAAGAGAAAAATATATAAAAAACAAAAAGAAAGTACTCACTTTAAATTCCGCTTCAGGTAACCACATATTACAAGTGACTGACTGACGTACCCAATCTGTAGTGACAATATGTATACCTTGAATTAAGGCACGAAATAATTTCAATGTTCGTCTAAATGGAGATTCCGTAACTAAATGCGTATATTGTACTGAACTGCATGAACAATTAGCTGGGCTAGGCCTCAGTTTCGATCTTGTAGAACGAGAACTGGACGATAAAGAATGGCTTGGTAACTTGACAATGTCATAACCAACCAAGTTACTTGATTTCAATAAAGCGATTAATACTTGTTCATCACTATATAAAACATCATAAAAATAAAAGTGATTAAAAAAATACATTTAAGAACTGATTAACTCATCAAAGTTTTCAGAGGAAAAGATTAGTGAAATCATTACTATGCGTCAAGTTGTGCGAAGGAAACGCACCCAGCCACCTTGTGCACATCCATACACAAGGCAATAAGTAGTCATACCTATTGTGTGAGGCCTAGTGATACTGACTGGTTACCCAGATCTCAGTGGGCGGAGTAGGGTTCGGAGTCGTGATTCACTGGCTGATAGTCATCTTCCTAAACTACTAAGTCACAGCTCCCCTCAAGTTGAGTTGACAGTAAGATACAAAAAAGGTACTCAGTTTAATCGAATACCAAGTTATAGTCTCTAACACACAAAAAAAACTTATCGAACTGCATAGACTCAGATTTATAATGTCTACTTACAGTTCAAAACAATAATCTTCATTGATTTGATTGGTATTCTGTAACACATTTTTTCTATAACACAAGTCATGAATGGTCTTTCGAAATCCTCACAAGATGACATTTTATCAAGATATTCTGAAATTGGCATTACCATGGTAAAAATCAACTTAGCGAGAAATGCTGTTTATACTGCTAGGTGATAAAGGACACAGTTAACCACCTGTAGAAGAGGATTGTGTACACAAACAGGTCATCAGTAAATAAGCAATGCGGTTTACTATTCAAATTTATTGGTCAAATGCACGATGTAGTCACTTTTACCTACATGGTACGACACTATGGTGTACTATGAGGAATTTTTAGAAAGTGTCTAACAAAATACAACTTAACATCGCTAGCAAGAGGTAATAGGTTTCACTTGTCAGTTGTTTACAACTTCAGCATATTTGATAACCTAGAACAATTCTCCATGATCAAATTACTTTTTCAAGTGTGTATTCATCATGGATTGATATCAATCGGAGAAACACTGAACACCTGGCAGCACTCGACAGCTGTTTTATCCTCAGCAATGTTCACCCATGACCCCGCGAGGGATCGAACCCAGAGCTTACAGGTTCCATAACCAGTACGTTACCATTGATCCACTGGATTTCAACCCAGTAGTAACATGCTAGCCACGGAACCTGAAGTTCCCTGGTAGGCTCATATGGGTGCGCACTCCCGAGGAGCCCCATACTAGGACAAAACAGCTGTCCAGTGCTTCCAGGTCTCCAATGTTTCGCCAACTAATATCAGCGCACCATGAATATCAACTTGAAATTTTCATATATGTTTGACGTATTCTGCAACATGCATGACATTAAAAAACAAGTATTATCCTTGATGAAGATTTGAGTTCATTGAGTTCACTATGAACATACAAACACTGGCCTAAACATATTTGCCAGCATAATGCTCAAATTAGGGCATTCATGAAAAGTCTGTTCATCATTTCACGTCAGTCTGTTTACATTTCATGTATGACAGAGTGATACAAGTTTATGTGCTGATGAAATTTCAGAAAAAACCTGTTGTCAACCATCATAATCAAGGTTATCATTCAACTTTCGGCTGCAAACCTCAAGCATGGAGTTGTGCGATAACCCTGCTATGATTATAGACAATAAACTGCATCCAAACTGTTAATAGCAAGTAGAGTTGTATCAATATTTTGTATATCAGTATGTATCAGTATATCCAACGCCGTCCGTCAACGCTGTCCACTCTCTCCATTCTTATTCAATTTTATCATACATATTCTTATGGAGGTTTCCCTCTCGTCATCTAATTACACAGACGTTGACCCAATCACAGGTGGATTTCTCTAGATCTATAATATGCAGATGACATAGTCCTGTTAGGTGAAGGCATTGACAAGATGCAGAGTCATTTGGACACTTTGAATGGCAGTTTAAGAATGTTTGGAATGCAATTCTAACCACCCAAATGCAAATTGTTGCTCCAGCATTGGTCTTCAACAGTGTCTCGGCTAACAATAGAGAGTGAGTGTCGTGGTTGAGTGTGTTGATCACTTCATTTACCTGGGAAGTGAAGTAGCATCAGCTCTGGTGCGTTGGTCAGTGGCCGATGAAATCTCTGCATTGATACAAAAGGCTCGGCTGACTTTACCAAATTACGCCACCTGTGACGCCGCCGTGATATCCGATTGTCTGTGAAGGGTCACGTGTACTGCACCTGCACAGCAGTCCGCTCTCTTCTACTGTGTGGCTGTGAAACATGGCCATTGAAGTTGGAAGACTTGAGAAGGCGTCAGATGTTTGACCACCGTCACCTTCGTAGTATAGGACGTATTCCGTGGTGTCACTACCAGGTGAGTAACGCAGAAGTCAGGTGTAAAGTTTTAGGGAGAAGAGGCAAGTCAGTTGACATGGTTGTGAACCTTCATCGACTGAGATGGCTGGCTGGGACACGTGTTACGTATGCCTAGTCGCCGTCTTCCTCGTCACACAATGTTGGGCGATGTAGGTTCAGGATGGAAAAAGGCTGGAGGCAGCCAGACTGAAACATGGCATCAATGTATGAAGTGGTTTGACTGTTGGTTTGAGTCATGTGGGGCGATGCAGACTAAGTGGTTGGGGTTGGTGGGACAAGAGAAATCAGTGGTTGGCGACTGATTCTAGACGATATGACTCAGAACCGGAGTCTGTGGCGTAGATGTATGCACACATTATCCTCATCTTAAAGACGCTATACAAAATCTCATCATTTTCTCATTCTTCCTTTCTCTCACTTAGTACTTTGTATTTCTCTTGACTGCATTCACTTATCTTCATCCTTCACCTCACTACATTTCTACTCGATGAACTGACGTGAGGTGTGGCAACTCGGACCGTTTCGCAGTAATGCCTGGTCCTATGCTGATAATGATTGATTGAATGCACCTTACAACGCAATATACCAACACCATGAAGCTAATATCGAAGAGAGGTTGAACAAGCAAAGGACAGACAGTCAATTCCATAAAATACACAAAGAGAGGAAACAAGTTAGCTTCAAAATGACGGTCATGGATTTTGATTATGAGCCATAGTTGATAATGTCTCAAGCCACTAGGTCACATGATATCCTAGACCTCATTTAGGGAGTCGCAAGGCATCAACAGATACAAGCATGACGCAACTATCTTTTATCCCACAACATCACACTCTACGCTAACCATTTCTCCCCTCCTTCCAACCAACCACAAATCTGGTGAACAGTGGACTGTAGGGAAGCTGCCAGGATAACGTTCATATAATAAATTCAAGTCACCAATGTTGGTGTTTGAACATAACTTCGCTGGATGAGTGATAATCACTATGTGGAAACATGAGCTGACGCGCCTAAGGATTACTTACATGGGGTTTTCTATCGGATGCCAAAGATTCGACGGCGATAACAGACAGAATCAACGTAGAATCTCGTACACAAGTGCATCCGTTCAAGTTGCCACATGTCACAGTAGTACACAAACAACAGGTGGATAGAATAAGAGTAATATCAAAGTAGACAAAGTTGTGTGGGGAAATAAGCAATTTGATAACACTAACTGAACACGCAGATAACGAATACCATTAAATTAAAGAGGTTAGGTTTTATAGGCGTAGAGTAAAACTGCCTGCACCAACGTAGAGTACACCCGGACTTTGAAAATCAGACTAACATTTCTGAAATATTAAAAGTGATGCAATTGGTGTCCACTCCTCTTTTTCGAAATGTGATTGAAAACTTTACCAGTCACAACCACACCAGCACACAAAACAACTCAAAGTTTTAGATAACTTCCAACCGTTTACCAGGAGGGCGAATGAAGACTGGTTCACACCATTCTTGTAAGCTGACTTTGCCCTTTGAAGACGAAAAGTACTCTCTATACTTACGAAAACGAACCATTAACTGATCAAGTGCTATTACAGAAGCAAATATGTTGTCACAAAGCCGATGATATTGATAGCATAGTCAACGTAGAAACTCCTTTCCCTGGTAACCGATCAGCACCACCACCACGTACCATTCTTAGAACTTCTTTAAAAATGTCACCGATATCAAAGTTACAAAGGAATAGCAATACAACACCATCATATGAAGGTAGTGAATGGGAGTCTCGTGACACAGAGGCTACAAAAACATGGATATAAGAGATAATTCCTGGGAAACAAGTGGGATCTTATCACTAATAGGAAATCAATCAATGACTCAAGCTCGATTACACCTTGTTCAATGAAGAAATGTAGATTATTCGTTCAAGAAGATGCTTTTTGTTTGCAAACTAAACCAGTCACGTTTTGTATAGAAAATAATACATAGGTAGAAATATGAAACAATAAAGGACTCACTTTGATTGTGTTCCAGTGAATACAATACTGATCCTTGTCATCAGAGTTTGAGAAACAGATGGAGATTGAATTGGAGCACCTGAAATAGAATACAGTATTTTTTACCCAGTAGACAATGTACTTGTAAAAAACAAAACAAGAAGCATACTTGAATCGAATAATAATTAGGTGTGACGATACATAATACTGTAAAAAGGCTACGACGGATATAGACTGTGAATCTACAGCTTACGATGAGTAAGAGTGATAATACAAGGTAGCTTTCGGCACGGATTGGAATTAGTTACACAACTACTGAAAACCTTGGGGAGTTGAACAGTTGCTTCATTATCGTCTGCAACTCCCCAGCAGAGGACATGAACCTACCTCATGGAGTATCGAACTCCGGGGTCATCAGTTTTCATGTCAAGCACATCATTGTTCAACCCATGTATAGGAATCAAACTATCGTCTATTTCCAACTTCTATCAAGCTGTAATAAGGCATCACCAGGATTTAACATTATCGATGAGTATCCTTGTTTAACATCTTGACTTGGTTAACTCCATAGACACGGTTTTTCAGTAAAACTTTAAGGAATCTATTTTGAAGCAATTCGCTAATGACCTAACCTTTGGTTGACATAAACCTAACTTAGTTTGGTAACATGTCTCTTTCTACTGTTGTTACCCACCCCTAAATTCCATGTTTTACTTTTGTTTCCTTACCGAATTTTTTCCCTTAGTAGTATAATTTTAAAGCACAAAAGCTCAACTCGATTCCACTTGCTAATGCCAAACTCCACCAGAATGAGTTGAACGAGGCTCTTAACTGTGTGGTAATGATATGCTACTCCAATAATCAAATACCTATACCTTATTATAATAATGTATCTGAGTGTCGTCAGATACAAGGGTGATACGTATTAGCTTAATAATCCATCGACGTTTGTAGAATCAGCCGCCCCCCCCCCACAGTCTTCCATTCTTCACGTTGCACTGAAAGTTTTCGTAGTGTTTCTAACCTTCCACGTCAGAAAAAAGTTGGCAAATCGAAAATGTTTTCTCTTTTCAGTACTTCTGAATATTTATTCTTCTGCTTCAACTTTCTACGCGGTACGACATTTCACACATCGTGTAAAAGTCAGCTCAAATAATCGTGAACTGTTCATACGACCTTTAAGAAAACTTACTTATCCAGATAATTATTTGGTTATCTCGCTTAAAATACTTGAAACAAGAAAAAACATTGTAATGCAATAAAAACCCAAGTTGCAAATACTATTATTATTTGTCCTTGGTCTCCTAGTGAAACATAGGGCATCAAAAACACGTCGCCATTTCACTCTCTTCTCTCCAGTCTTCAAAACATGGCTACATGAATCCACATTAACTTTCATTTCTTCCTCACACCATCTCCTCCATGTCACCCACACTCCAACGCCCAACTCATCGCTCCCCATCTCAGCTCCACTCGACGGCATCGCCTCGTCAGGCCTGACGCGTGAAGTCCCCAAACGGTCTTCCCACTCTATGTCCAATCCAATCCAAACCAATCCATCTCCACTTCATTCTTCTGCATATTTGTTGGACTTTTGGGTTGGTTTGGTTTCGTTGGTTGGTTCGTTGCGTGCCCAGACACAGTTCCTTCTTACTCATTCTTATTATTCTGGACATCCATCCCATCTTCACTGTCGACTGAGCAAAGGCAGCAGCTATTGATGATACATGTCTACAGTTTGTTCGAAATGATTTCCGTAAGGCACATAGTCACTCAACCACCACATAGAAACACTAACTTGAACTAAACTGATTGAATTCATGTTGAAAACCCACATCTTGTTCACGCTTTATGCTGAGTGTAATGCACTGCAGTGCAGTAGATCTCCACAATCATTTGATTTCAGATTAACGAAGGAAGGCCTCTGTGGCTGTCTTTCCGATCCTAACTGGCTTTGACATCCTCATCTATCGTTTGTCTTTTTACGCACTCTTCTTCACTTCTTTGTCCGGTGTAGTGGTTCATAGGTTGTACTCACTTCCTCTTTTCGTTGGTCATCCTTCCAATGCTTTGCAGTGGACTTGTTCATCTTCTGCTTCACCATCACCATCTTCCTCTCCCTTCTCTATTAGCTTCCATGTGTTCGACGAGATCCATTCATTGTCCTGTTTCTTCTTCCTTCCCAACACGGTTATGCAGGTGACCTTCCACATCTCTTTCGAAGAGTTCCAGTGTCCTTCCACCCACGTCCCCTCAGAGATCTTGCTTAATGTCTCCCATTTTGTCCTGATGACTGAGTGACTGACGGGAAGATGTCCTTTGTAGTTTCGTCCTTCAGTTCAATTTCTGTTCTGGGTGTTCAACTTGAACTTGTACTGTGGTGTGGCCTATCACCGACTTCTGTGAAGGCTTTCAACTTGATTTGGAAGGTAGGTTGCTTGTACTGGATAGTGAGTGGTGTGAACCTACATCTGCTACCCTTCTTGAGCTGGTGTCCAGTAGACTGCGTCTCCACTTTCTTGAGATTGTAGTGAAGTTGATCTGGTTTTTAGTGTGTGTGGTGTCTGGTGAAATCCATGTCGCTTTGTGGATATCCTTGTGCTTGAACACAGTGCCTCCAATCACCAGATCGTTGAATGCGCAGAAGTCTGCAAACAGTTCTCTATTCTCATCCATTTCACCAAGTGCCTCTTAACCCATGATGACTTCTCTTCCTATGTTGCCCGCTCCCAGTTTGGCTGGCAATCATGTCACCCAGCCCATTAGAATTTTAATGTCTCCATCTGGGGTGGGTTCTTGTCCATTACTGATTGCAGTTGTCTATGGAATTCCTCCTTCTTCTATTGATCTGCATTATTTGTAGGTGCGAAGCGTAGCCTTGTGTGATTGTGACTTTCCTTCCTTTTGAGTTGAATCTTGTTGTTATGATCCTGCAGGAGGAGATTGGTCCCCACTGCATGAGAGCCTTCGATGCTGTTGGGGACATCCTGATAGCTACTCGAAGACTCAGTGTGCTCGTGGTTGTCGTCTAGGTGACAATATCGGAGTAGATTATTGACTCTCCAGTTAACAGTTTGGAGAATCCACTTCCATTCCATCTGCTTTCGCAGATTCCTAGCAAATGCTATGATTGTGACAAACTTGATGGTTGACATAACCTTGAAAGTCAACTGATATCATGATGTAACCCGTTCCCAATAGTTTTCCTTTTGTAAAAAAATATAATCATATAAAGAAACTAATGATCGAAACTATATCACCTTTACATTGGTCGATAGGCGTAGGACGAAACTCTTCTAAACTATTACGCTTGTTGATGACCTATTAAAGAGAAAATTAAAATGTTATTTCAGTAAATAATGAGAATAACTTATCAATATAAATAAAAGTGGATGAATAGAAACAACATAGTTATGTAACGTCACACTGGTTTAAAAGATATGACTTATCATCATCCTAATCCTTACGGTAACCTTAGAGATTAAGGAGGTAAGAAAATAAGTACTGTTGTATTGTGAAATCAAGTGGTCATAAACGAAAAAATAAAAATGGCGATGCAGTTTATTGGCTTCCAAACAAGGGATCCCCCATCCCAGGATCAAACTCTACTCCATCTACTTTGGTCTGAGAAACCATTTAGTATCAAAAGCCCTCGCATGATGAATAGTCCAGTACATAAGCCTGAACTAAATTACCTTACTTTTCAAATTCTACAAATGGAGTGCTACCTAACGTTGGAATCTAGAGCTTCTAACGTACATAGCATAACTATGTTTAACTAGAACTTTTCGGCAAACATACTCAGTTTTGTGTAATAGGCCACGAGTAACATTTACAAGGTGAAATTTACTGATAGTATCTGGCTTCCCCGGCCCAAGTGATCAAGGTAAGGTTTGAATCTATGACTTAATTAATGCACAAAAGTGTATTGTCTTTACCGCTGATTGCACCCGGCTTTTCCTCGAAAACTTTTTAATAGCAGTAACATGAGACTAACAAACGTTTTAGCCGTCTGCTGTTAGACTCCATTCGCTGAAGTAATTTGCACTACTGACATTTTAAACAACTGACCAACTGTCTGGTCGACATTTAGCTGCGTTATAACTTATAAGACTTTAGAATTCAAGCTAACAACACCACTTGATTCCTTACCATCTTCAAGCAATGTATGAAGAACCAATTTTCGCTTAACTCCACCCAGAAAGAAAGCACCGCTCAATAGCTGAACTATATGAGTTTTAAGTTATGGGCCCCTGATTGAAACCCACTTCATCTACTTTGATTCGAGCAACCGAGTACTAAAATAAGCCCACATACAACAGGTGCGGCTCGTACAGACAAGAAGCATTACCCGGTAGCGGTTCAAGTTGACACACCTCAATATTATTTCGAGCAAGAATGCGCCAAAATAGAAGACAAAGAAATATAGAAGATAACAGTCAAAAGTGATAGTCATGAAAAAGGAACAAGAAGGAATGACATAAAATTGAAATTCAGGATGACGGTTACATTTGCGCCAATCAAGATCGACTCTGGGCTATATCACCTGCAGCCTCCATCCCCTGGTTTCTGGTGTCATGCGAACCTCAATTAAGAAGTTCATATTTCCCTACACAGTTAAAGACTTGAACGAGTCAAGCCATGTTTTATTATGCCAACCTGTATATATTTTGCAGCGTGAACCTATTTCAGCTGCACTGCGCGATGAGGTAGACAGTGATCAGGCATACCTAACACATATCTCAGCCATCTCCAACGATAAATATTCACAACCGTAACAACTGATTTTCTTCTGTCCAAAACTCTACGTCCAACTTTCACGTTACTGACATCATGACTCCATCATAAACGAACTGTTCTATCAAGGCAACGATGATCAAACTCTTGAAACCTTCTCATGTCTTCCATCCTAAATGACCATCTAACACACTCGTACAACAGAACAAACAGAACTACACCGTAATAAACTCCACCTTTAATAGACAATCACAGATCACCGTGCCACCATGAATGCCATATACTGTGGCGGAGACTAAACTAGCCTCTTGTATCCATCTAGAAATTTCATCAGTCATTGGCTCAACGAGGCTGATCCATCATCCCAAGATGCTGAAGTAGTTAACTAGTTCAACAATTTCACAACTACATATTGTTAGACGGCGTGCCAACGCAAACCAGTCATACAGCAACAATTTGGATTCGGGTAACGAGAAATACATCCCAAACATTCTCAAGATGCCACTCAACGTACACAAAACACTGTATTTTATCAGCCTCTAGCCTCTTCACCTAATTAATACAACTATGTCATCGGCACACTATAAATACACTAGAGGATTTCTCATGACAAGATCAATCCCTGCAGAGTCAGACGAGGACATGGAAGACCTCCATTAGCACATCTATAAAAACATTGAGTGAGAATGTAGACAGTGGACATCCTTAACAGACACAATTCCAAGTACACAACTCATCTGATAACCTACCATACATTATGACTCACCGACAGATATTCGAGTATGAAGCCTTCAACAGAATAGTGAACTTACCTGGCACCCCTTTAAGTGGGAGACACTGCTATAAGACATTCTGGTTGGGGAAGTCAAATTCCCCTTTAGGTCTAGAAATATATTTAGTGCCGGCAAGTGAACCTAGTCGACAACCCATAACCAGATCTGAAACCTGTCTGCTTCCTTTGGGTAAGGAGTTCCTGAGCTCCATTTAGATGAGTAGCATCTATAGAACCTAGAATCTCAGACACTGGGTTCGTTGAAATGATTGCATGGTGGTTGTCACAAGAGGATTTCTCAACTTTATTGAAGACTAGGACAAACAGTGACTGCGACCAATCAGAGAGGAGAATTTAGGAATTCCATACTCTAGCTAACACTTCAGTTAGCCTGAGCAACTACTTACGGCCACCGGTCTAAAATGCCTTCGATAATTCCCCTCATCTAGCTTTGTTTCCTGTTACTTACAGCCTTGTCGACTTCTGTAAGTGTTGAAGGCTTCATATCAATGTTCCATTCCAAATTCAACTAGATGGCGAGCAATGGAATAGGGAATGGAGATCAAATGAACTGTTCCTTCCAGTGCTTTACTCATCGTTCCAGCCGTCTCCCTTGAGAGTGGAACTTAGACCCCTTCTTCTCTGCTATAGTCTCACTAAACATTAACCTTAAGGACTAGTTTCCTTGGTAGCTCTAAATAGTTTCCTATTGTTGCCTATCCTTTTATCATCTCTTTATTCGTCGCTACGCATCACTGCTCACGTTCATTGTGTAGACGGCTTATCAGTCCATGTCTGAGTTGCATTCGCTCTTGATTATACTCGGACCCTGTATCCAAGCGTTCGCGTACGTCTATCAGCTCAGAAGCTGCTGAGATCCACTGATCTTTTCTGGCCACCTGAGTCAGTTTTTACAACAGACTGGAGATGGGACCAGGCTTCTACTGGATAAGTGTTGCTTTCTTCTGATAGCTATCTAGTTAGTTTTTCGCTGAAAGGAATCTTAGTATTCCACCATCGAGCTGACCACACAATGGTTTTATTGCTATATTTTCCTTCAACTATTTAGGCACGTACATACATGTGATTGAAATGACGCGTGACCTGTCCAAACACTTGCTCCAGAAAGTGGCAAAGTTTAGCGATAATTGGTAGCAATATGATCAATGTGTCCACCATTGAGTTGAGGTTAGTGGACGCCACGTTAGACAATGCTTTACCGTGTCTGAAGCTCATGATGACCAGAAATTAATGATTGTCTTAGCGCAGCTGTAGCAGGTGATCACTGCTATCTGTTAGTTCGACTGAGATTCCGAAAGTGCCACTTAACCAATACTTTTTTATCTGAGTTAGTCTACCCATTTTTTTCCGTTGAAATCATTTGTCACGACAACCAGATTTCGACATCCGGCTTCAAGAAAACTAATCCTTCACCGCATCATCCGTAGCACTTACCGGTTGTCCAAGCCATGGAAGGCCCTTACCGCTTGCGGTCCTGAAGAAGAATTAGTAATGGTGGTGCGTGATCTGCTTACAGACAACTGCATACAACCCTTTTAGAATATTGAAATTTCAGTTTTTCTTTCGAATCCATCAATGAGCCCATACCATAGGCACCGGTATGGCTCGGGGTGGAGTGGGAGCGGGCTATTTTTACGGCCAACATTTTCCAACCCACTCTTTTCGTAGGGAGGCTAACTAACGTCAGCATAGCATTGATAGTCATCCAAGAGAAACACCTTACTGCTGTCACACACCATCCAGCTGGCAGTACAACTATGCCCTCGGACCACCATCATAGTGTTGCAATTCACATCAAAACGGTAATTGCTTTTTGCCTTACCGCCACCCAAATGACCCTTACGGTATGGCAGGATCTTGAGGGAAGAAAGTTTCTCTAGCGTAGTCCATTGTGGTATGCAAGCTCGACTACCATATAGTGGCAGCTATGGGCAGAGAAGGGTGACAGTCCAGTATGTACATAATTCCTAACTTATGAGAATGAAGTTAACAGATAACACTGGAACACACTCTAGCCAAAAGGAAATAATCAGCGCTAAGATTAGTAAAAATGAATAACAGCTGATGTAGAAACTTTCTCTCGCCAGTGAACAGAAACAAAAATACTTGGAAGAATAGAAATCAGGAGAAAAAAACCAGTGTGTGATAGGGGCACACGATAACAAGGCCAAATTTTTAAAATCTTGAGAAGTTCCATCACCAATATCAAACATATCTATACAAGGGTGGGAATGACCTCTCATGACAAATTCATAAAGTATGTTTAATACACCTAAGTACTAAGATCGCATGGTATGCACAGGTTAGGAGAGTACTTATGACAAACTAGAAAACCAAAAACACTTGTAAATTTGAAATTGCTCGACAGCTGAATTGCTCTAAGTGGAAAAAAAACTAGTGAAGAATATCGGTGAAAGGAACAGAACTTGAAACTGTCCTGACAATTCACTGACATTTTTGAAATAACACTATCACAGCTCCTTAGGACACTGAAAGGTAAAAGCAGTATAACAACCTTAAGTGCAGCCAGCATTCCTCTCTTCCTATTATTGATGGTATTCAAGATACTTACTTTTATCTGACTTAAAGACATCCGACTTGGTCTCATAGACAATGGTGTATTCGCCACTTGAACACTTGATTTCCGTTCGAAAATTGAATACGGTAGCTCTGTATGTAGGTTCATTCTTGAAGTACGTAATCTTTTTCGAATAGGACTGGATATGATAGAAGTTTGTATTGATTTATTTTCTGATAAAGATTTTTGTTCCAGATTTATTGTTGCATCTAAATCTACACTGACAGGGAGACGAAAGCAAACAGGTCGTAGGCTTGGTGAATACAATACCTCGTTTAAATTTCTACCCTTCACCGGAATTTCATTCTGATTATCACCAAGAGATGGAAACAATGATACATCCTTTCCCTGAGTCGGTTTCTCAACAACTTTATTTTTGGATTGAACTCTCTTCCTTGATTGCACTGTACGCTTAGGTGTATGTGTGTTTCCACTGGTCGTTGGTTTAGCTATAAAATTGGTTTCACAAAGAATTTTATTTTTCTTAAGAAGTAGTTTACTGGATACCTTCGGTGTACGCGATTCATGTGGATTTAATAACTGTTTAGATACTTTCTTATTAGCAAATAACTTGAGTGTTTTTCCAGTTTTTTTCTTTTGTAGAACATCACCACTACTTTTTGCTTTCTCCTCTACAGAATGAATATTCTTTTTAACAGTAGATTTTGAGGTTTTTGATGAACTAACAAAATTTAATAACATATCCGGAGTAAGTGGAGTACCAATTGAAAATTTTTTAGTGAATACAGAAGAACGCCTTTTTAACTTTTTTGTACTGTTGGTACTGACAATCAGATTGGAAGTTTGTTTAGTTGTTGGAGTAATCAGTTCTTCAAGTGGTGATCCTGCATTAGGATTGATTAAATGAAATTTATTTAATGGAATTTTTTTAACACTTGTTGGAGGAAAATTTTCTGTCAAGGAATCATCTAATATACTATCCGCTTCTAGAATATCTTTTTCAGGTCTGTTGACAATTGGTGATAAAGAATTACGAAAACCCACAAGTTTTGGTCGATTTATCGCATCTTGTGTAGATGTAGTGAGTGATTCAACTCCAACTAAGTAAAAAAGGAGAAGAATGTGGAACAAATCAGAAATAAATAAGGCGACAATTAACATGGAAATACTGAGTCAATCTTTATCCAATATTAAACTACTTTAACTAAAGAAGTAATTGTTCCAGACCCTCATAGACATTGACTCTATATACCCTAGTGTTGACTCTCTAGATCTTAGCTGTACAGACACCAGAAGACAAAAACTACTAGCAGACGGCCATATTACAACGGAACAATTAATTCCTCTGATACAAAAGATCAGTTAACCATGATATACATAGGAGAAAATAAAAAGTCAACCAAGGGATAAGATAGAAGTCACAAACCATTCAACTTGATTTCACCAGTGAGTACGAGACTGAAGCTTTAACCATTATGACAGAATGCTGCGTAAAAAGGATCCACAGGAACTTAGTAATCGCGCTTACATTCATGGACTCAATGCAGCGACCTCGATATTGAAACTCATTTAAAACTAGAATTTTTAGTCGAATATTTCAGTGAACAAAGTCACAATTTTTCAATATAAATCAAATCGCTTCATGAGTGCCGGAGATAAAAGTATGTAACCATCTGAAAATCGAGTGATAAAATCACTTTCAAGGTTCATATTATTTTTGTGCATGCTTTATAGGCTTTTTCCGATGAAATGATAGCTCTGAAGGTTTACATTGACTGGAATGGACAACGAAGATTATTTTTGTAAATTTAATTTTTACTAACTTCGAGTATGACTTTCAACGATAAATCAAGTATTGGCAACATAGAAACTTTATGCACTTCTATTTCTAACAACTAAACAGTAATTGCTTGTCAGAAGAAATAGACGAATCGAGCTTTGGACTCTAGGCAGCCACTCAATTAGACTAACAAAATAGAATTTGGCATTACTGTGTAACGATCTGAGTAGTCACAACATGTATCAGAAAACTGGGAATCGAGAAAGTAATTAAAGGAGTAAAAGTCATAACAAGAGAAGAAGAGGTTTCAAGTTTGGTCGCCCTTAACCTTTTTCCAACTTGAACTCACCTCTTCAGCTACACTGTTCAACGAGGTAAACGGTAAACTAGGCATGTGTAACACATGTTACAGTCATCTCAGTCGATAAAAAGTAGTACCAGTATCAATATAAATTTTTCTTCTGCCTAAAACTTTACGCTTGACCTTCATACCATGAAACTGATGGTTGCATGACACACGGCCTATACTACAAATGTGACGTCGGTCGAAGACCTGAAACCTCGTGTTCTCCACCTTAAATGACCATGTTTCATCAGTATACAGTAGGACAGCAAGCAACTGCGCAGCACACTCGACCTGAAGTAAGTAATCAGACCACCTAGGCACTATAAATTTAATACATTGGTATAAGCTAACCCATCTTAATGTATCAATGTTGAGATTACATCCGTCACTGACCCATCAAAAGTGATCTGACTTCCCAAGTGAGCAAAGTTATCACTATGCTTAGCCACTTTACTCCTTGATGTTAGACAAGGTATCAGTGAGTAACAATCCTGGAGTAACAATTTACATTTGGGTGGTGAGAAACAAATCCCAAACATTCTTAAACTGTCACTCAAAACGTTCCGAAGACTGCACCTTGTCAGTATCTTCACCTGACCGGACTACGTTATTTGTGTACCCTAAGTCTATCAAAAAGTTTCTTCTGACAATGTCAATTTCTGAGAAGCCAGATGAGAAGTTTACCTTTGTGAATATATTTATAAAAAATTAAATAGAGAGTGGATATCCCTGACGGACAATAATCGCTGGAAATAACATACTTGGTTGATACATCCTCAACCAGATCTGTTCGATTTTCCCGGGGTTCCGGTTTCTGAGCTACATTTAGGCGTCTAATTATCATAGAACCTAGGAATTTATACCATATGTGCACCACGCTGATTCCTGTTTAATTACCATCTGTTAGCTTTCATTACTGAGTTCCCAGTATGTCACGCATCAAGCCAACAAAACTACATAGGCTGTTTAAGACCAATGAAACTCATTAAGTGTTGTACATTGACAGTATGTTTCATGAAAACATCGAAAGAGTAAGGAAAACAGTTATAACAATCCCTGGAAATTAGCCACTACACCCTCCACACAAAGAGAAGAAAGCCAATTATTGACTTCTTATAAAAATAATTTCATAAAATCTAGTCAAATCCACTGATTAGTTTTACGTTAACTGTCAACCTCTTCGGCAGTTTCAACAACAGGTCAGATCAATATCAACATAGGATCAGACTGGTAAATGAGGCCCACTGAAAACGGAAAGCACTGGATAGTTGTTTAGTTGCTCGGGAGTCCTCAGTAGTGCTTCCTCACACAGAATAGAGCTTAGAACTCCCAGGTTTCTTGGTGAGTAGGTTACCCCTGAATTACTAGTTTGTAGTCCAATGGTTTGTATTTTTATACTTCTGTCAATTGGTTGTATTGTGCAACAACCATCCAATGTCATAGATGGGGATTCCTTCATCCTACAGAAGATTTATTGCAAATACTATTTCTGGTTAGATGTAATAGGCATGATAAGCTAGCAAGCTAAAACGTCGTTACAAAACAACAACCTCAAAAGACAATGAAAGAGAACTACATTTCAGTAATATCACGTTCAGTGTACTTTAACAGGATAACGAATAACTACTGAAGTGATAATGCATTTACTAGAAGTTGATGCTAAGCTAGAGACTGAACTAATAATTTAGATTACGCGTGTTTAGAATACTTTATCCCTATTATTAGTGGGAATGGACTGGAAAGTATTGACATCCTGAAAACAAAACATTTTGACGACAGTAAATTCCTAATGAATGAAGAATCAAATATGCTTCTATCCCTGGATATTCTGACATAAAACAATCACAATAATGTCAGTGTAACATGTGAATTTAGCCTTTCAATGAAATCGTTCACGCAAAACACTACATCTGCTTTCAATAAGAAAGGAAGAAAGCTATCCATTTACTATCTTTCAAATAAAAGGCTACTGACACAGCTTCAGCAAAATGTGTTTATTGGGTGAAGTTAACTTCCCCGGCTGACGAAATACAGGACGCGTTGAGCAGAAATCTGAATGTGTTTGACATGAGTTTTGCTTTCATCTGTCAAATGTAAGATGATGCTCCAGGACTTGTCTCCAACCGCCCCCAGTTTTATGATACGGAATGAAGTGGTTGGATGTGTCGACCATTTTACTTACTCGAGGAGTTGCATCAGCTCAAACAAGTTGGTTGCCGACGAAATCTCAGCTCGGATACAGAAGTCCCATTTGACACTTGCCAACTTGCATCATCTGTGGAGGTGACTGGCAAGATATCCGACTATCTATCAAAGGACGAGTAGACTGTGCTGCATTCCGTCCTATCCTGTTGTACGGCTGACATGGCCGTTAAAGGTAGATGATATGGAGCGATTACAGATGTTTGATCACAGATGTCCTCGTAGCATTGCTCGCACTAGGTTGAATCACCGTGTGAGCCATACTGAAGTCAGGCGAAGGGTACTAGGCAAGTTGATTGATGAGACTGTTATCCATCGTCAGCTGAGATGTCTTGGACATGTACTGTGCATGCTGAGTCACCATGTACCTTAAACTGCCATGCTAGGGGAAGCTGAACTAAGTTGGAAAAGAGGTCGGCGTGACCAGGCCAAGACCTGACACCAGTCGATGGACTGTCTTACTGGTGGTCTGAATCATGTCAGGAGATGTATACTGCCCCGTCGTGGTCCTTGCGACGAAAGTAATCAGTGGTTGGGGACTCTAGGTGACATGGCTCATATGTATTTATCCCTTGATGTCTGAAGCTTGAATATTTGCATGAACTGTTATCTTCAAACTGTTTTTTCTCTCATACTACTTTATCCACATTGATATAAGTCTTTTTCTACCCACTTTTTCTTTGTGTACTACTGTCAAGTGTGACAACTTGAGGCGATGCACCTGTGTGCGAGGTTCGATGCTGATCTTGTCAGTCAGTCATGCAGTTGAAGCTAACTTAGAAAAACTTTTTCGCGTTTCTTTACAACAATGATAATAAATAGCTAGATGCTATATATTCTTATATATATATATATATATATATATATATATATATATATATATATATATATATATATATATAAAGTGAATCTGTAGGCCTATGAACACTAACCGGACTGAAGAAAATAAAAATATTGTACAAGCGAAATCCAAAACCCTAAAGGCGTTTTAGAAACTTGTAATTCACGTCAACTAGCAATTAACAAATAAATGAACCCAGGCTCAGTACAAATGAAGAGATAATTATATTATTGTGAGGAACTTGGTATATAGCGGGTACCGAAAAATGTGCCATACAAATATTAAATAAAGCCATAAAACTTAAAGTTATAGAATTGACCAGTTGGAAAAAGTACGCTAGTGGTGACAGTAAAACCACTAAAAGAAACATTTCATGTCATAGGACACGTTACAAATTACCTATGAAACAATTCTCATAATCTTGAAGTGTCGATGATATATTCTAGAGTAAAAATGGAACTTTCAAAATTAAACCACTTAACTCAAACAGTGCAACAATAGATGTTATCTGTCGCTCAAAAAATACAGTTTTAGTTAGCAGCCCTGTCACTAATGATTGAGGAAAATGTATTAAATCTGAAGGCTAACTACAAAAAGGCACTAAGATATGAAATGCGTAGAATATTAAATAAATATGACTGCTGAGTACCAGTCATCAGATCAAAATAGATTAAACCAACGCAACATACTTGACCTTTATTTGTTGGATGGCATAATCAGTCTTTATACATAACCTACCTCATAAACCATTAGGTACTGCTAACTTTTGTCAAACTTTCGGACGATTTACATCTCAACGTATTTCATAAGATCCACAGGAATCTCACTAAATATTCTGAAAATTCAGTTTAGTAATATTTAGTAAATTTGCTTCTGAGGAGAGATTAGTTTGAATATCAGGTAGATTTAATAGCACTATAAAACTCGTCCGACGATTATTTTTTCAAATGAATCTACCGACTGTGAGGAACAAGCAGAACAACAGAAATAATGCTAAAATACATACCATCTGGTTGTATAGATAACTCCCGAGTAACCTTTTCAGCATGTGATGGTTGCACTATGTTTTCTTTTGAATTCTCCAGCACAGTTTCTTCGCAAAGAAGAGTATTTTCTTCACTCATTCTCTGATATCTTTGGATACGAAGAAGGAAACGTTTCATTTCTGGAGGTGTCTTTGGTCGAATAAATTTCTCGCTGACACGAATTGGTTTAAAAATATGTAACCCATCAACGCGTTCATCACCTAAAAAGAGAAAAACTGATCAATTTGATTTTTCATATTTATAAATTTTAACAAATGGATTAGAAACAGTAAAAGAAGTCAGTGATTATGGTCTGAGTTAACCGATATTCTGTGCAGAAGAAATCTCATACATCTCTTAGCTTTCGATCAGTAGAGAATTACCTACGTTGCTCATTTTTTCTTCAAGTCAAACAAAAGTACCAATGGAGTAAGTCAGTCAATAACAACACAAAATAGTACATTTATTTAAGTTATAATACACTTCCAGAGAACAAAAATAAAGAAAAAACAAAACCAATAAATAATATGAGTAGTCAGAACGGTAAACATCAGCCAGGAATAAATACGTAAGGTATATTAAAATGAACAAGATTTGCAAAAAACTTCAGAATGAATTAGTCTGAGTCATGAAGGTAAATTTTGAGCCATACCATTTAGAAACTGCAGTTATCTATTAGCATTCTACGAACCAAGTTTCAGAAGCCTATTTCTTTATAAACTTCATACTAACGGTGCGTGATTTTTTGAAATAGTTGTACGTATAAATCAAGGGAACCTTAGCTTTTTCTCACTCATATCACGTGAAACCATAAACTGGATTAGGTCACAGCCGGATAGATGTAAGAAATAATCAACTTACTGACCAGCGTATCACTGAAATCACTGACGTATAACCCGATGTCAATCAACTCACTTCATTTTACTTATTATATGTAGTTTGTATATCAGAATTCGAAATCAAGTTCGTGTACATGCAATCAGTATGTACATTAGTATTCCCAGTGTATTTCCGCACAATGTTAAGCAGGAACTATCCCAATAAAAAAACACTTCGCAGTGATTTCCGAGAACTGAGTTGACGATAATAAGTTTGACACAGAAACGTGTCCAGTGAAGCTTGGTCAGGAAGCGTTGCCACTACTATAAATGACGAAAATGTATAATGGTTGGGAAAATCTGGAATATTATGCAACACAAAAGGTTAGGAAAAATTACACAGAAGTATGTACGGTAAGAAAAACCCACTTAAATCTAATTTACATATAGCAGTGAATTTTTATACTCAGAACTAGACCTTGCGTTAGACAGCAAAGCTGCTGATGGAAAACGCTTTAATATGGTTATCTCCATTGAAATACTTAGCTGCAAGTTTTATAAAAAATCAGAATCTCGGTTTAAGAATACGAAAGCTGGCTAAGCTATCAAACTTTCGTAAACTGTTGTAGATAAAACAATAGATGTAAAGAATCAAATACCGACGAGTCGGCTACGAATTTTACGCACATGCAGTAATATTGATCCATCCATCCAAATCAACATAGGACCAGGTATTAATGTGTAACGGTCCGGGTTGCCACACCTCATATCACCACAGTAAGTGAAAAGGCAGTGAAGTGAAAGATAAAGAAAAGAAAACTCAGTCAAGAGAAATACAAAGTACTAAGTGAGAGAAAGGAAGAATGAGAAAATGATGAGATTTTGTATAGCGTCTTTAAGATGAGGATAATGTGTGCATACATCTACGCCACAGACTTCGGTTCTGAGGCATATCGTCCAGAATCAGTCGCCAACCACTGATTTCTCTTGTCCCACCAAACCCAACCACTTAGTCTGCATCGCCCCACATGACTCAAACCAACAATCGGAGACTTCATACATTGATGCCATGTTTCAGTCTGGCTGCCTCCAGCCTTTTTCCAGCCTAAACCCACCTCAGCCAACATTGTGTGACGAGGAAGACGGCGACTAGGCATACGTAACACATGTCCAGCCAGCCATCTCAGTCGATGAAGGTTCACAACCATGTCAACTGACTTGCCTCTTCTCCCTAAAACTTTACACCTGACTTCTGCGTTACTCACCTGGTAGTGACACCACGGAATACGTCCTATACTACGAAGGTGACGGTGGTCAAACATCTGACGCCTTCTCAAGTCTTCCAACTTCAATGGCCATGTTTCACAGCCACACAGTAGAAGAGAGCGGACTGCTGTGCAGGTGCAGTACACGTGACCCTTCACAGACAATCGGATATCACGGCGGCGTCACAGGTGGCGTAATTTGGTAAAGTCAGCCGAGCCTTTTGTATCAATGCAGAGATTTCATCGGCCACTGACCAACGCACCAGAGCTGATGCTACTTCACTTCCCAGGTAAATGAAGTGATCAACACACTCAACCACGACACTCACTCTCTATTGTTAGCCGAGACACTGTTGAAGACCAATGCTGGAGCAACAATTTGCATTTGGGTGGTTAGAATTGCATTCCAAACATTCTTAAACTGCCATTCAAAGTGTCCAAATGACTCTGCATCTTGTCAATGCCTTCACCTAACAGGACTATGTCATCTGCATATTATAGATCTAAAGAAAATTCACCTGTGATTGGGTCAACGTCTGTGTAATTAGATGACGAGAGGGAAACCTCCATAAGAATATGTATGATAAAATTGAATAAGAATGGAGAGAGTGGACATCCTTGACGGACACCACTCGATGAGCATAGCTCCCCAGAAATGTCACCACAGGCTCTAACACGCCCACAATTGTCGAGTGGAGAGCCTTCAATGAAGTGATATACTTACTCGGCACGCCTTTCAGTGAGAGAAATCGCCACAAGACTTGTCGATCAACAGATTCAAATGCCACCTTCAGGCTGAGAAATACAGCTTTTGTCGGGCGTTGGTAAGCGTTTCTGTGTTCTAGAACCTGGCGCAGTGTGAATATTTGATTGATACACCCGCGGTCGGGTCTAAAGCCCGCCTGGTTTTCTAAGGTTTGATGTTCCCGAGCTATACTCAGGTGTCGAAGAACTATAGAACCTAGAACTTTAGATACCAAGTAATAATGAAGATATGGCTTGTCTTGAGAGTGAAAACAGCAGACTCATTAAACTCTGTGATCTTTGGTAAGAAAAAGCCCACCTTATTTTAAAAATGCTTTAAAGTTTTGGGGGATAATATCAGAAGAGAACTGTTCACACTACTGTGCATCACCTCAAAACAATGAAGGGAAGCTACTAATCCACAGATTTATTCCAAAAAATCAGAAGCCTTCTGGAAGGCTTTGATATTCAGTAGTCATCAGACACCAACCTTAGACTGCATTATACCCTTGAACGGAAGGAACAGAGATACGGTAATTTGTCGAATTGTTAATGGGTAACACCTATATTTGTAAAAATCGGATGCTTTTAATGGATCAAATACACCTACTTTTTTCCATTTTGGGGTCAAAAAGTAAATGAATCGCGTGAATAGCTGTACAGTAGCCAACTAATACATACGAAGACAAAAGTTAAATCTTAGATAACTCGTCTCTGGGAATAATGCAGGCATGAGTTTCTGGCCCTATTATCAAAAGAAAGTGGTAAGTTTACTTACCAACAGCTAATTGTGACATTTTAAACACCCTATTCAGCCACTATCAATCCAATATAACACACTAAGATGAGGCACTATGTTGGTTTCCATTCGCATGAGGTTAATGAGTCAGAGTGAACTAGCATAAGAAAGTAAAATTTCAAAGCCGTTTGAAATAAACAGTTTAACTGCCACTGTTCATATCATTTCACTTATATGCCAGGTAGTCGCTGTTACTATCAATACTTAATACAATCTCTACAAACTGAATCTTCATTCGAATTATCACGGTGGATTTCTTTCTAGACTTTCGGAATCTTTGGATATCCACTTAAAGTAATTTGAAACTGTTGAACTCCTCGTCTCGATAAAAAGTTAAGTTCATGACAGTGTTGTGCTTGAGCAAGAGTTGATTGGTTCGATTAAATTACTATTCAGTAAAAATACTACTATAGTGGCATGCATATATATATCACGAAAACAGACAATACCAGATACAACGGGTCCACTTTGCTTCACACAACTTTCTTCTTCAACGTTTTTAGCAAATGGTCGAGTTATTACACCGGATAAGTCAGATTTGTCTTCTTTTTCAGAGTAAGCTGCCTCACAAGCTTTGACCTACAGTTCAAGTTTAGGGATTCACAAATAGTTAGCTTACCTTCATCATCTTGCAGGCTTTTACCCATCCTGGGGATACTAAAGGAATGTTTCTTTTGAGAGCCCAACATCTAACAGCTTCAGAGCCATTACGAAATAAAACATGTGTCACATGATTATTTAAGGTATGTGCGACACTGGCCCCCAATGATTCAAGAGTTCTACTCAGAGCGGTAGCAGGGTTTCCAAAGGGTGATTTTACATCAATGTATGCTACAACTCCTAATGAATGACAAAAGTAGTTAGGTTTTACGTACCTTTCAGAACTGTCTCCATAAGTAACCTTGACAGGTCGTTTTCAGCACAAAACCCCAAGTGATTATATAACAGTGAATTCAAACACAAAAAATGTACCCAGTAGATCCGAGAGGCATCAAAGACTTATGTCAATGGCCTAAGTATAGAGAAGAGAGTTTCTTTGACCTCTTTTGTCTATTTTTTGCAGTTTCTCCTTGATTATCGCTTTCGTCGTGTCACCAGTATATCCAATATCCCAAATTGATAGTGCGAGCGTAGAAAACTGGTAGTTTTTGATCTCTCGCGTCTAGTTCTTAGGGATTGGTTCCAGTTGTTCAGTGCACTCCTGCAGTGGACGAGGAAATACCCTCTGCTTTCTTGCTTTTACCTTCGGTGAGGTGGATGTTTTGTGGGTTAGTAGGTTGTAATTTGTAGAGCTATTAAGGAGCTACAGGTTGCTGGAAGTTTAGAGAACTGCCGTGACTCCTGTCTGTGTAGGTACCTGAAAGAGAATGTTAAGGTAGTGGTAAAGGAATGAAGAGAGAATGAAGGAAAAAAATATTTTAAAAAATGAAAAAAGAGAGAAAAAATAATAATATAGGGGAGAGAAAAGGGAAGGAGAAGAAAAGGAGGGTGAAAAGAGAACGAAAGAAAAGTATTTGGGAATTGCCCGAATGGTCGCGTGGGTTTGGTTCCTATAGAAGAATTAGTAGGTAATGTGGGTGTATTAAGGAGAGAGATGGTGAGTGGTAGTTAGGAGGGAGTTGGGGGGTACTGAGGTTGGTGACTACCTGAGTACGTCCGTGGTAGTCCATGCGAGGTGACACAACTGTCTAATCGCCTCTTGAAAGAGTCGACTGAAGGAGCTATAACGATGTGTCGCGGTAAAGCATTCCATAAAGCACATACTCTTAGGGAGAGAAATGTGGACCTGGGTATGGTGTTGGCTCTCCGGTGTGCTATCTTAATGGGGTTTCCTTGTGAAGATCGTTGAGTTGCAGGCAAAACTGATTTGTTTGCATGGTCTGCCTGATGGGCGATCTTGTATGCCATAATGAGGTCACCCCTTTTCCTGTGATAACCCAAGGTAAATAGGTTTAGGTGTTTAGTTTGTATACAAACTAAGCCAAACGGTACGAATGGTTCAGATGGTTGTTGATGGAATAAAAGAAGCCTTCGCCTAACTGCCTTCCGCATCTGCAATCCATGCACAAGTTAAAGGATGGCAAAAGTGGTGGTCGAAAGGTGAAAATTCAGTTGGTCCTGTGCAGATCCCAGACAAACTTCAAATAAGTATCCAGCCAGCGTTTAACAGATTGAGACAAAGTAGCCTAGATCATGTCCGCGGGAAGAGCATCCTGGGGCTTAACAACTCTTAGGGAGTAGAAGTTGCGCCTGATGCCCAACCTACTGTGTTACATGCTGTTTCTGCAAGTGTCCTCTAAGATTAGTGCCACACCTAGGATTTAATAAGTGACGGAGTGGGTGTCCGTAGGTGCTTAGTGTGTTGTGATTCGCTATCAAGTTTCTTCTTAGCCTTCTACATTCCATTCCTGTGCAGCCAGTCGTCTTCGTATGTTTTAGACTCAAGTCCTCGAACAGATTTAGTTAAGGGCCACTGAATGCATTCTAAGCTTAATTTCTCCTTCTAGGCAGAAGGATGGAAGACGATAGTCCCGAACCCCAGGTGAGGCTGTTGTTCGAACTGGCTTTGAAAAGATGGGAAGGGTGAGATTTCCCGCAAAAAGTAAGGAAAAAGATTGATAAAAACGGGCTGAAAAGAAACAGAACAAGGGGAGGGTATCGGGCAAGATAGTAGCAAGAATGGTGGGAACAGAAATAGTCATGTCACTGGTGGCCGTATGATAACTGGAAATAACAAGAAAAATATTTGGCCGAGTCAAGTTCGCAATATTATCCGCAGTACGAATAACCATCATCAAAGTAATCAAAGTAGTACAATATTCGACTTTTGCGTCACATGTGACCTAGACGGTTAACCTGGCCGTATAGTTCGGTGTTTCGTCAAACAAACCTTTATTTTAACATCGGCCCACATGTTTATAGTACCCTTGGCCAACGAAAACTCACTTCATCAGTCTCAGGTGACAGTAAGTGTTAGCGTAACCACATAATTCACGTGAGTATGTAAGTCCTCACACTTCCCACTCGTAGAGTCACCTTACTCAGAAATACAGACGTGATCCGTCAGAATTATTTGTTGCTGTACAAAGAAACGAACATCTGAAGGACTGTTATCTGACGGCGACAGGGTTCTGCACATGGAATTCACACTGAAGCATGCGGCATTATCAAGGAGGTTTGTTGACTGCTAACTGTCTTCTATGAAACGGAGTCAGACGACTTTTAGACACTTGATATCATGATAGAGTCTGATATCCTCCTTCTGTACCGTTCGATGCTGCTCAAACCACTGAGGTTTCTCTGAAACTATCAAGTTGGTGATGCTTGTAAACCGGCATCATAGCCTCAGAATTGAAATATTTATTTATTTATTTATAACTATTTCTATATCGGCCTAACGCAGTTGTTTCTTCTTTCAGTCGGAGAAAAGATCATGGTTCGGAATTCTAAATTAAACCGTGTACACATGGTGAAGAGGAGGCTAAAGTATCCCAGGTGTGGTCACACTACAGCAGTCGAATCACCAATAAAGGATCTATGGCAAACTGATAATAGTTAGGCACAGTAAGAGACTCAGGCTTTAATATCATGCCTGATTAACGATTCTAAGCCCTTTCTGGCAGGGACGCCGCCCAGGAAAATGTTAACTGACTTTTTTGAACTAAGGGTTGGTTTAGAAAAATAGCAATGGCAATATCATCATTATTTGTCGCTTGGGTTCCTGGTGGAACATTGACCTTCAGATAGCAACAGTAATATTGCTTTTGTTCTGGAAGACGTTTTGGGAGTGCAGTCGGGTGGATTGTGGTCCCAACCAAATTATTAATTCATCCGTGCGCGTGAAGTTTGGCATTTTTCCCTGAATCGACGAACTCCATTACAGCTAAAATACGATGAGGTTCAAGAATGACGGAGATTATAAACGTGTTCAGACTATGACTGACACATTGGGAGTTTTCATTGGGCTTTCTCGATAGATGACATCCATTTTGGAGCTTCAAGAAGCGTCATGAAAGGCTCTATCGACACTCCGTGACACCGGGTTGTCTTATCCCGCACTTCAGAACTCCGGCAAACAAACCAGACCATGTGGCAGTCTCATCAACCAAACCCAAAACCCGTCACTGCAAACTGCGTTGCTTCAGCAGAAGGCTTACAAGAGAACTACTAGACCAGAGCAGTTAATCAGGTTTTCTGGGTAGGACGGTGCATTTGTATGGACACACCCAGTGCTTTTTTCGCTACTGGCAGTTGAAGTGGCCCAGCTGTTCTTGTGCAGCCTACGAATCCCACAAATTCCACGCTGAGTGCCTGCATAAGAACAGTCAATGGGCTTGCATAACCTGGTAATCTGCACGTCTTGGTGACAAAGACACCGCTAATTCCAGATTACATCTATCACTCTGAAACTGCGGCATATTGTTGTACACCCGTTGCGTGGGTGATTTTTCATGGTATATCAGAGCAGTGAATTATGCTCACGTGAAGTGCGAAAAGGCGGCGGAATGAAATATGCTTTGATGTATACCAAGTTAGCTGATTGGTGTGGTCTATTTCATAATAATGGCGACATTTCATAACATTTTTACGGATACAGTTATTAAGAGTTGGTTATAACCTCCTGCACAAGTATTTTTGTCGTTCAGTTTCCTTCCCAGGTATTAAACTCCCAAGGCCCAATAGAAATCACGATGTAGAAGACACAGCTAATGTGTGCAAAGGCAACACTTGCCTGTCGCAAATTTTTATGAATATAAGAAAGCGGAATTTCATAATTCACACCAGTAGAGAGCGTGTGTTTCAGTTGGCTGATGGGAGTATGGAATGAAAAAAGCAAACGGGTTATAAACAGTAAAATCAGGCAATTAGTATTAGCTGTAGACAAACCGTGCTTATTTCACTGATGTGATCAATTATTTCCGTGGTGAGAAGATTTATACTGGTGGTGGTAGGGAACCACGATCTCACCACCATACATGTTGTTCCTGTGGAGACCCGCAAAATGAGCATATAAAGGACAAATTCACCAAAACAGTTATCCCTGTGTGGGAAGGAGGTCATAGAGAAGAGCAAGTCTTCTTCATCTGTAGCGTGTTTCAGTTGTGTTTAGGAAAATGAGCCCGCTTCGAACGCCATCTGCCCTTTGCGCCAAGGCTATGACGACAGGTAAGTCGATGACTGTTGGGTCCTGTCCACTTTCTTGGCAAGTTTAAGTTTCGCTTTTAAAAAGTAAACTGTAGGTCTTGGTTAGTGTAGTGTACAACTGCAACCATCGGGACAACGCCGTCCGTAAGCACGATGTTAGTCATAACAGTATGTTCGTAAATCAGAAGCAAGACGTTTTGCAGGCGAATTTGAAAGACGGTCTACCTAACCAGTCCCCAACCCATGTAGAATCCTAGCAACCGCACTTGTCAGCGCACACCATGCCATCACAACTTTATGGGGTTGCACACAATCCAAGGTCACGGCTGTACTACCGGCCCCACCCTTAAGAATATTCGACAATTCAAACAACGGGCCGATAATCTCTAATTTCGAACCGAGATTGCTCCAATCTGCAGAATGACTATGTTTGTGTCAATCTGTTTTATTCTTTGTTGTCTGTGAGGCCCCAACGTTCTTTATCTTAACTCATCTCTAATATACGGTGAGTGGTGTCTAATGTACTGCGTGATACTGTAGATAACAGTCAGTTCACAGTGCCAAAGTGGTCAAACCGTAGACTGGTTTTCTTCATGTGGCTTATGCTGTATGAAATATACTGCGTTATTACTTTCGGGCATTTGTCATACACAATCGTCAGTAAATGCTACCAATAGCAGTGAACTCAAACAAGAAACGATAAAGTTTTACGTATGTTTGAATCACTTTGAATCAAAAGAAAACCCCTCGAAGTAACAGAGTGAAAATGAGAATCACTGAGAGTTT